AAACTGTGGCATGGCTAGCGCCGAGCTAACGTTAGCTGTGCTTTATGAAATATTGCAAAAACAAATTTGTCACAAATCGTTTAAGTCAGGGTGCTTTTTTTGCAACTGAGTCTGGACAGATGTGTTAAACTGCACCCAACCGGCTGACAAGAGCGTAATAACATATCTGGGTTATGCACAAACATGGCTAACGTTAGCTGAAAAACGCAACAAGACGAGAGGAGCTAGCTAACTTGCCTCCATTAATTTTCTCCTTTTGTTCGCTGGCTTGCTCTAGCTACAAGGAGGCCTGTATATTCAATATGCTTAACTAGCCCGCCGCTTAGTAAACACAAACATCCGTGCTCTCCCTACGCCTCCATTCCTCACTCCCTGCTCATCTCGCTGAGAGAAAATAAAAAAAGAGAAAAAAAAAGTCTCGAATAAAAAAAAAAAAAACGAAGACAGGAAAAAAAAACGTCGACGCCGTTGCCTCTGTAGGAGACGCAGCTTCATGCAGACTTCCGGCGGTTGGGACGACGGTGCTCTCAGACACACTGAAAAAAACACTTAATTAACAACCGACTAATAAGTCCTGTGTTAATTACCGGTGAACTCGACTCCCCTTCAACCCCCCCGGAGCTTCCTCGGGTCGGGACAGTTGGAAAACTTTGTCCAAATCCGCCCCTCAAACCCCTCAGATATGCCTTTTTTTTCTTCGTTTTTTTTCCTTTTTTTCCCCTCCAGCTCTTCTCCGAGGAGTCAAGGCAGGCTGAGTTAAACAGCTTCCGGCCACACTCTTCAAAATAAAATCAAAGCGCGATTCTTTTAAAGTATATTTCTTTGTGTATTGCGTTTGATTAAAAGCGTAATAATCGATGTTAACACAATTAACTAAAGCTAAGCTAAATGTAGGTGTAAAATATGACATTTTATACACCGAAATAAAATGATTATTAATTATTTTTTTAAATTAAAAAAGCGAATTTAAAACAATAGTGTTTAATCACAAAACCAGCAAAAATGTATATTTATAATTTTATCAAAAACAGCCTAATGAGGTTTTGGTGCTACATGACTTAGAGTCAATTGTCTTCAAAAATAGCTGTTTTGTATAAGAATATTTATTCAGAAACTTATCTTATGTATTTTTCATAATAATAATTAATACCAAACCACAAATAATGCCGAAAACTAATAAAACTGAAGTAAAACCAAACATACAAAAAACAAATACAATTTAAATCTAATCGACCGAAATCCACTCTGAAAACTCAATGAAACTTAAGTGACCTGAAAACAAACGCCATATAATGTAAAAAACAAACAAACAAACAAACAAAAGGGTTCCGGTAGGAAAATCTTCTATACACAAGTCAAATAATATA